AGTCCTCATGTCGCTGCTTTTTTCAGCCATGTATGTGTCTGCTCCTCTGTGTACACATGGGTGCCTCGTACTGGATACAAGGGTGCTATTCAATACTTGGCCTCCTGTCATCAGTCCTGGCAGTCACCTGTACCCTGAGGTGCTGACCCTGATTAAAAACCCACTCTGGCCCTCCACGCCGCCCAGGAACAGTGTGAGGGTGGGCCGTGAGGGCTGAATGGGTTAAAACAATTAGAAGGGCCACTGTTTAGACCACACAGAAGCATTTCCTGCCACCTGCAACCCAGGCCAGATTGGACACTGCCCAGGGGGGACCTGGCAGCCTGTTTTCTCCTCGGGCCCGTGACCCCTCCTCCCTTCCAGGGTGGTCAGAATGGTCAGAGCGCATTAAAGGGCATCTGTCAGCATGTGCTCGGTCTGTGCTCACAGGCGAGGCGTGCAGCCCACTGAGCTCTCGGGGGGAGGTTGGCAGGACCTGGCAGGAACGGGGCTGGAGGGTTGGGCAGGACAGAGGCCACTTCCCAGCCTCAGAGGACACAGCAGGACTTTGGACAAATAGAAAAGGACACTGCAGGTGGAAGGACCGCCTGCCGTTCTCAGGCACGCCCGTTCTCAGGCATGGGCACTGCCTGCCCCGGGCAGCAAGGAGGAGTGACACGCTCAGGTTTGTGTTTTAGAGAGCTCACTCTGGCTGCAGTGTGGAGGAGGAGCTGGAGCTGGGAGAGGCTGAAGGCAGGGAGTCCAGTTAGGAGGCTGGTACCGTAGTCCAGGTGAGCTGAGAGGAGGGCCTGGCCTAGGCCAGTGACTGCGGGGATCCCAAGGAGGGGCCATCCCAGATATAAGAGGCCTCACATAGCAGGGGGTGAAGACCTAGGACACCCCCCGCCCTACCACCAAACCAGTGAGTCCCACCGTAGGAGGAGGGAGAGAAGGCCAGTGGTGGCCAGTGGTATCAGGTGCCTAGAGGCAGGCAGGCAGGCCCAGGCTGGCTCTGATTGCTGTGCCATCACAGGGGCTGCCGAGGTGCCTCCCTGGTGAGGCAGGGCCCAGCCTTTCCCTCCTGGTTTCCTGTAAGCCCCTCCCGCCCTCATCACTGCCTCCATCACTACTACCCCTTACCCCCAGGCACTTGCTGGTTTGAGACTCTGAAGTGGCCATGGTGGGGTAGGCCCCTGATTCCAGTGTGGCTGGCCTGGCTTTGTCCAGTACCCTTTGAATGAGCCTTTGCCCCTTCCCCACCCCCCAGAACTGCCGTAAGGGGCAGTGCCAGCCTCCTGGGGGTCCCATTCCTTCCTGACAGCCCCTCCCTGTGTTTCTCCCCCCCCTGCTGCAGATGGCGGTGGGACCCCCTGACTGCCCTGTGGGAGGGCCGCTGACCTTCCCCAGCCGGGGTTCTGGGGCTGGGGTGGGGGCAGCCCTGGCCCCACTGCCTCCCACTAAGATGCCCCCCCCTACGATCCTGAGTGCAGTCCCTCGGCAGATGTTCAGCGATGCAGGCAGCGGGGATGATGCCCTGGATGGAGATGATGACCTGGTGATCGACATCCCGGAGTGACCCCCTCTGCCCGAGCCCCTGTCCAGCCCCCTGTGCCAGCACATGAGCCCCAGCTTCCACAGAGACATTTATTGACGCCCAGTTGCCATGCTGCGGCCACTGACACAATCAGAAGAGGCGTAAACATGCACAAACGTCCCCTGGAAGGAGGGCCCCTCACCAGGGAGGGCAGGAGGCTGCCCTCGCATCCTGGCCCCATCCTGGGGACAGTGGTTTAAATGAGTGGCTGGGAACATCTGCCACCCCTCGGAGAGGCCGGGACCCTGCGGTGCCTCCCCGCTTCCATTTAAAAGGGCAGCTGTACAGGGCTAGATGTGTTGTTTTCAAACGAAGATTCTGTAGTAAAGGAGTGGCTCTTTTTTGGGTTTTGTCCTTTTCTTTTCTGGAATCTTCTCTTTCGAACCCCCCCTAATCCGACCTCCTCCCTGTGGTGGAGGGGACGGGCAGCCTGGAGAGGCAAGAGAGAAGCAGCAGCTGGGGCCTTGGGGCAGGGGCCCTGGCAGGACTCCCCCTGCAGGTGTGCACAGGATGGGTGGTTTGCATATTTGCATGTAGTAGCGAGTCAGGCAGGAGGAAGTTTGCATATGTGAATACAGATCTCCACAGTCCCTCACAAGAAGACAGACCCACAGTCACAGAGATTCTCACGAAATAAGACAGGTAGTGCAGGGCGGGCGGGGCATCCACCCCGTGTAAACGTGCAACACACTCGTGCGAAGGTTGGGTGCTGGACCCAGCCCTGAGGGGCCTGTGCTGGGCAGCTGCTCGCCAAGCTCAGGCTGAGGGCAGAGCCCCGGCTGCAGGGGGCAGCTCGCTGGTCAGGGTGTGCCAGCGCTCCAGGGCTGTGTCTGGCCGCTGCAGACAGTCGTTCCAGTGCTTCCGGGCCTCTCCCCGGGCACCAGGTCCCAGGGACACGCCCCCTGGGGAGCAGGAGAGGCAAAATCAGGGCCTGCTCGCTGCCAGTCTGCCCTCCCTCAGCACCACCCAGCGGGCTCCTCCCTCACCAATGAAGTCGTTGGATTTGCCAATGTCATAGTCCCAGACTGTGACTTCCAGAGTCTTGGTGGCCAGAGCGGAGAGTTCCATCTCATAGAAAAACTCCTGGGACAGGGCAAGCCACACCTTCCATGAGGCATTGCCCCACCCCCTGCCAGGCCCCGCCCCCTCCCCTTGTGATCTCTGGTCCCTTCCCCATTTACCTCATTAAATTCTGGGTTGAGAGTCTTCTTCTTCACGCCTGTTTTGTGCTTGGATTTCTTATCCACATCTGGCCTCAGGTACCTGCCAAGGAGGTGGGGCAGGGGCAGAGGAGCAGGGTGGTCAGGGATAGGCCAGAAAAGGACAGGGCAGAGGTCAGGCTCCCTGGGGAGGGGAGGGGAGAGGAGGGGAGGGGAGGGCACTTCGACAGGGGGAGGGCTCACGTCTTGACATAGGGGTCGGAGTAGCCATTGACGTCCATGGCAGCCAGGTGGGCACAGCGTAAGATGCCCACCAGTAGCCCGCGGCGTGAAGAGCTGTAGCTGAGGCTCAGCAGGATGCGCCCTCGTTCTTCCAGCAGCCCAGGCCCCTGTTCCGCCTGCTCCAGCTTCGGGGCAGACACAGAGGTCAGCTGCATCCTTACCACCTCCCACCCGGACTGGTCCCTGTGAGGGGCCTTACCTCCTTCAAGTAGCAGGATATGCCCCTCAGCGCTGCCGACATGGAAGAGGGTGACGCCAGCTGAAAGGGCAAAGAGAAGGTTCTGGAAACCTGGCCTCCCCAGGAACCCCTCCCCTTAGCACCCTATAGCCCCATACGGACCGGGACCTGGCGCTCAAGGCAGATATTAAAATGCTTCTTCTGTGAAGGCTTGAGGCGGCGGAGGGGTACTCGGATCTCTCCGATGAACTCATTGTGGCTCAGCTTGTCCTCATCACACACGGAGATCCTGGCAGGGAAACCAAGGTCAGGGCCCCTGGGGTCCCTGGGCCCCACTCCAGTGAGAAAGTGCCTCCGATAGAACCATGGGCACCCGAGGCCAGTCCTACTCTGCCTTCGTTAAATACTCCTCATCTGTAAAATGGGCTGCGGTGGGCACCAGGCCTGGCACCTGAGGAGGATGTTTTGATGTGCCCTGTTCCCCTACCCCTCCCTCTACATTGCCCAGGCTGTCCCCTGGTCCATCGGGATCTGCTCAGCGACTTCCGGAAGCCTTCACAAATCTTGGGGACCCTCCCCACCCCTGCCTTCTGGGCCTGTGGACAGGAGCCTGCTGACTGTGCGTAGGGTGGGCATTGGTGGGTGTGGGTCACCAATTCAGGCTGTGAGGGCTAGAAGGCCTTGAGGAGCCTCGGGCAGCTGGACCAGGCCCCCACTCCTCTGGAGCTCCTGTCCTGTTCTGCATGCAGAGAGCCGGCCGGGGAGAGACTGAGGCCAGAGGTGAGAAAAGAGTGTTTGTGTTTGTGTTGTCTCCTTCGGCCCCTGCACTTGCTTCTGCTGTGACACTCTTGGGTAGCTGTCATGCAGGAGTGTTCATTCCCAGCTCTGCCACTTCCTAGCAACCGCGTGAGCTTGGGCAAGTCAACCTCCTGACGCCTCAGTTCTCATCTATAAAATGGAGATTCTACTCGCCCACCTCCTAAAGCTACTGTAAGGACCAACTGAAATGAAGGAATGTAAAATGCATAGCCCGTTCCCTAACCTGTTTGGCTCAATGGATAGAGCGTCAGCCTGCGGACTCCAGGGTCCCAGGTTCGATTCCGGTCAAGGGCATGTACCTTGGTTGCAGGCACATACCCAGTAGGGGATGTGCAGGAGGCAGCTGATGGATGTTTCTAACTCTCTATACTTCTCCCTTCCTCTCTGTAAGAAATCAATAAAATAAAATAAAATGCATAGCCCGGGGCTGGACACCACAGAGCACCCAGCGAGTGATGTAGTCCTCACTCTCTAGCACAGCCGTGGGCAAACTACGGCCCACGGGCCGGATCTGGCCCGTTTGAAATGAATAAAACTAAAAAAAAAAAAGACCGTACCCTTTTATGTAATGATGTTTACTTTGAATTTATATTAGTTCACACAAACACTCCATCCATGCTTTTGTTCCAGCCCTCCGGTCCAGTTTAAGAACCCATTGTGACCCTCGAGTCAAAAAGTTTGCCCACCCCTGCTCTAGCATCTGAACTATGGGGCCAGCCTTTCTGGTTTCTGCCTGTCCTCCCTCCAGTCCACCTCACACACAACATCAAGGTGATCTCTCCCAAACACAGCCCTGCCCAGCCAGTGTGGCTCAGTGGTTGAGTGTCGACCTATGAACCATGAGGTCACCGTTCAATTCCTGGTCAGGGCACATGCCCAGGTTGTGGGCTCCATCCCCAGTGGAGGGCGTACAGGAGGCAGTCGATCAATGATTCTCTCATTGATATTTCTCTCTCTCCCTCTCCTTTTCTCTCTCAAGTCAATAAAAATAATAAGTAAATAAACATCTAAATTTTTTAAAAAATGAAACACAGCCCTGACTATGCCCCTGCCCTGATACAAACTCTGCCATGACTCCCTATTGCCCAAGAACAAAGGAAAGTTCTAGAAGCCTAGGTTTTGCTGCCCTTCATTCCCTGTCAGGGACTGCTCTCTCCGTAACACCTCAGGGATGACTGGGCAAGTTTCCTATCCTCAGACTTCCTTCCTTAGCGATGTTGGGGGGACAGAGGCAACAGAATGGGCAGACCTCCGCTGCACCCTCTGATAAGGGCTGTCGGGGACCAGGGACCGCTTTCAGGGGGAGGCGGGGCCTCAAACAATGAGTGGGGTTTAGGGTGGCGGAAAGAGAAGCAGGAAGCAGCGCTTTCCAGGTAGAAGAGACAACAGGCAAAGGAAAAGGATAAGAGTAATGAACAGCCGGTCAGAAGAGGGCAGCCCTCTGCTGGAGGCAGGAGGAGCCATGTGGGGTAGGAATGCCAGGGAGCATGTTGGCTGCTGCCAAAGGGGATGGGGCGCCACTGATTGCACGTGAGCATCTGAGGGGCTTAACGAGAAGTAAGTCAACCAAAGAAGGTTCAAGGACAGCTGTCCCGGAGGAGGCGCGGAGCTGGAGGCTTTGGTGGCAGGGAGGATGGGCCTCACCTGAGCACCTTGTGGCTGATGTCATCATCCGTGATGCCACTGTACGTCAGGTCCTCGTTCCACACGGGATTCAGAGTGTTCCTCTGCGTCTTCGTTTTCAGCTTATTGGCCTGCGGCGTGGGGACGAAGGATTCTCAATACATGTTCCCTAGACCCACAGAGGCTGAAAGCGGGGGAGCCTGGGGATAGGCCCAGAAGCTGCGTCAGACTCGGGGAGGGAGGGAGCTATTACCTTGCAGGCTCCAGGCAGCAGGTGCACCTTGACGTAGGGGTCGGCCAGGCCATTGAAATCCATGGGCTTGAGGCCCTGGCGAGGAGGGGAGGAAAGAGAGCGGTGAGCTCCCAGCCCTCCCTCAGCAGAGTGGATCCTTGGGGTGTGGAGAGCCAAGGAGAAGGGGACTTGGGAGGGGGCGTGGGGAGGGGAGCAGGGGTATGGCCTGGAGAAGGGAAGGATGGAAACCCATCCCTCCCCGGTGGGAGGCAAACAGGGTTGAGGCTGGGGAGGGAGGGGGTGCCCACCTTGGCCCTGAGGATACTACAGTGCAAAGTGCAGGAGGCCTGGTCATAGAGAAGGTCAAACTCCAGCGTGCCCAGGGTGGCTGGAGAAGAGAAGCAGCGTGAGTCCGTGTGTAAAGGCAGGTGTGTGAGCGCCGGCTGGTGCGCTGGCCATGAAGGTATGTGCATGTCAGCCTGCCAGCCTGTGTGTTGGGTTCCTGGTTCGGCTGCAACGGGGCTGTGTGGGTGGTTGTCTCAGGAGAAATATTGAATATTGAGCCTTGCTAAAGCTGTAGTCTCCACACTGACTGCAGCTGTGGTGCCTGTGCCCTGGCCTCCCCCACACACACCCAGCAGGGCCCCATCCCCTTCCCACAGCCTGGAGGCCCCCAATACCACCCTGGGCCCTTGGAGCCCCCACACTCACTGGCATCATCCGAGTCATAGCTGTCCACCTCAGCTCCATCCTCGGGCGTGGTGGCCCCCAGGAGGGCTGCAGGGGGGGCCAGGGCCAGGGGGGCCAGCCGAGCAGGGGCCTCCCCAAGGCCCCCTCCACCGCCGCCCCCTTCAGGTCCTGGTCCCCGGCGGGGGAAGTAGTCAGAGATTTGGCGGATGGGCCGGATGGGCCCGGGGCACACGTTGATGGCCATGTGCTCCTGGATGTTGATGGTCATGCGGTCGCCCCTGCGGCCCCTCATGCAGCACCGTGTCTGGGGGGAGGGAGGTCCCAGCGTGAGCCACCGCCCACTCCTCACACCTGTGGGCTTTGGGCTGCAGGCCAGGCAGCACCCTCCCATCTGGGCCTCCCCTTCTAGGTGTGGAGGGAGGGTCAGCCTGTGAGCTGGGTCCTCGCGCCACAGGCTGGGCTGCCAACTCCCTCCCCCCAGGTCCTGGCTCCACCCCAGCCTTGCCCACTTGCCGACCGGGTCCCTTTGTCATCTTCCCGGCTCCTGCCCCTCATCTGGGCTCCCGTCTGCCCCTGGGCCTGCCTGCTCCCAGAAGCCACCCCCAGGTCTCCTGTCTCTCGGGGCTCTGGCCATCCTTCTGCAGCAGGCGCTTGTCTAGTCCGGGTGTCACCCGCCCCTGGAGACATTCACTTCCCACCGCGTTCAGCCCCAGGGTCCGCCGGTCCGCCCGGTCCCCCCCTGCAGCCCACGCGGGGCCCCTTCCCCAGCTGCCTCCTCCTCAGATTGGCGCTCCAGGGGCGCCAGCAATTGCAGCCTCGAGCGGGCTTCCCCCCACCCCCACCCGCAGGCACCCGCAGGCTCACGCACACCCCTCTCCCGCACCGGCCCCGCGACCCAGCCCCCTGCACCTGTGTCTGCCTCCAACAGGTGCCCGGGCGCTGGGGGGACGGCGGGCGCAAGCTGGGCGGCGGCGGTTCCCGGGCGGCGGCAGCCAGAGCGCGGAGTCCGCTGTGCGCGCCGAGAGGAGGGAGAGCCGGCAAGTGCGGGAGGAGGGGGTGAGCGCCGTGGAGGCGGGAGGCTGCGGGCGCCGGCGGCGGGGGGCGGGGAGGCAGCGGGACTCTCCCGCCGCCAGCCGGGCACACTTCGGGGAGCACACGCGTGCACACACAGTCACGAGCACGCAGGCACTGCCCCCCACACGCTCGTGCCCACGTGCGCACTCACACAGCACAGACCCCGACGCGCTGGCACCCTCACCCGGGAAACTTCGCGCGCACACACTCGCAAAGCGCCTGGCACCACCGGGAACCAACTGTGAGAACTGCCCGGTGCTCCCCAACTCCTCCCCGCACCCCTCCTGCCCGGGGCCGCACGGAGCCCACAGCGCCCACTCCCTCGCTTTCTCCTTCCTTTCCTCGGGAGTCTCAGGACCCGTCCACCCGCCTAGTTGCCATGGCGACGCCGGCTCGCTCCCCAAGTCCCCGGAGCATCCTCCCGCCCCTCCCCCGCAGAGGTGCGGGCGCAGGAGGGAGGAGGGCGTCCGGCCGTCGGCTCCCGCATCCGTAGGGGCGGGGCCTGCGGGATGGGGCCTGGAGAGCCGCAGTGACCCTTGCGGGATGCAAGGCTGGGAGGTGTGATCCGCCTGCGGTCGCAGCCTGGGATCTGGGCGCCCCGAGCCCAGCGGGGGATTTCAGGCCGAGGGAGGAGACGGAGGGCTGCGGCTGGGGCTTTCCCACGCCTCCTCCCTTTGGCTGTTCAGGTGTCTCTGCTGGTGACCCGATCCTCCCCCGAGGGCGGGTGTCCCTTTCGGAGGGAAGGCGTCCCCTTTGGAAATGCACCGACCCTCCACCCGCTCCAGGCCCGTCCCCGCAGTCCCGTCCCTCGGGGTGGTGCGGAGGGGCACGGGCTGCTCCGAGCCCCCAAGCGCTGCAGCCTTTCCCCAGCCGCCTGCCTTTCTCACCTGCCGCCTCACTGCAGCCTTTGATCTTTGCTCTCGTTTGCCGCAAACTTGCCATCCCCCAAAGTCAAAGTCCTCACAGTGGCTTCCAAGGCCCTTCAGCCCAAGACCCTGACTTCTCTCATCTCCTCGGGGGCTCCTCTCGCTGGCTCTCGGGAGTGTCACGTGCAGTTTCTAGAACACACCTGGATCTCTCAGGCCACCGACCTGGACTCATACGAGCCCCTCTGCTGGCAGACCTGCCTCTTCCTTCAGGGGTCACTCTGGCTCACCTCTTCCCAGGAGCCTTCCGGAACAGCCCCTCTGCCCAGTGTCCAGTGCCGGCTCAGGCTCAGTCTGGCCACACGGTGTGTCCTGCCTGCACTGAGTTGCTGGGCCTGGCACTAAGCTGGCATCACTGAATGTTGTGATTTAAAAGAGAAATGTGACTGCACAACGATGTGAACTGTCTGCTTGAAAATGTTAAGATCCATTGTGATGTGGCCTTGGTCGGTTTGGCTCAGTGGCTAGAGCTTTGGCCTGTGGGCCAAAGGGTCCCGGGTTCAATTCCAGTCAAGGGCACGTACCTTGGTTGCAGGCTTCTCCCTGGTCTGCATGCAGGAGGCAACCAATCAATGTGTTTCTCTCACACCGATATTTCTCTCTCTTTCCCTCTCTCTCCCATTCTCCCCCAAAACTAATGGGAAAATATCCTCGGGTGAGGATTAACAACAACAACAAAAAAGATCTATTGTGATGTGTATTTTTTAAACACACAATTTTTGAAAAGAGAGAAATACAGTCAAACTAGAAAGATAGCACTTGTCATCTATCAAATCATGAAAGTCAAAGCATCGGTTAACACGCAACGTTGATGAGGCCGTGGGTAACGGACAGCACCTGTGGAGGCCAGTCTGATGGTGGCACCAAAAGGACAAATACATAGACTATTTGACCCAGAAATGCCACTTCTAGGATTTTGTCATCTATATATACATGCTGGTCCCACGAGCAAAATAATAGAAAGTCAAGGTTATTTGCAAAGGACATGGAGCAACCTAAATGCCCACGAGTAGGGGACCAGTTCAATCCGCTATGACACAATTTCACACAATGAAATAGTGAGCTGCCCTGGCAAAGAAAGGCCCCTATGTGCTTGTACAGAATCGCCTTCACAGTCTCATGTTAACTGGAAAAGTAAGGTACAGAATAGCACGTATGGAATGCTTCCGTTTGAGGGGGGCAGTTTATATGTGTTTATTTGTGCATAAATTATCTCTAGAAGGCTGCACAAGAAAGTGGTAACTACAGTGCTGAGTTGGAGTTATCTCCAACGTCTATCCTGTTATACCTTTTGAGTTTTGTTCCATGTGCGTATGTTTCCTCTCCAAACGCATTAAAGGAATGTATTTTTCTAAGTAAAGGCAACCACTAGGTTTCCTTCAGGGCTCTCCAAGCTAAGGAAGGAGACGGGCTAAGGGAGATGCCAGCATCCGGGGCGGAGCTGGTGGGCTTGGCCGGGGGCAGACCTGGGCCTGCAGTGAGGGGAGGGGCAAGTGGGCAAGAGCCTGAGAGCCCTGCATCCGCCACTGGGGTCTTCTCCAGGGGCTTCGCACAGGCCCAGCAGAGAGCCTTGTTGAAGGGCTGAGCCCTGATGGAAAGGCTTTTCATCTGTCCATTCAGTCAATAAATATCTATCGAATCCCTACTATTTATTGTGGTGCCGTGACTATGACCAGGATCAAGCATCTCTGGCTTCACAGCCTTGTAGAGAGACAGACAATACACAGACAAGGACCACGCAGCGAGATCGATGCGGTGACTGGGGACGGTCACAAGCTGTGGGATCTCAGTGCACTTCCCCGGGGAAGTGTTGTCTCAGCCACGACCTGGAAGATGAGAAGGCGTTGGCCGGCCAAGCGTGGAGCAAGAGTGTCCCTGGCAGAGGTTCATGCCAAGGCTGGAGTGTGCCAAGGAAGGGAGAGCCTGGAAAGATCCAAAGAGGGTAGGTGGACAGGGCTGGGCAAGTCTCGAAGGTCAGGGTAAGTTCAGAATCCACACAAGGAGCCACCAGAGGGTTTTAAGTAGTGGATGTGTGTTTCCCGGGTTGTTCTCACTGTGGGAAGAGGGAACGTCAACCGGTCCACAGGCTGTTGCCATAAGCTGGGTGAGAGGTGGGATTGGCTTAAATGAGGGGGGCAGAACTTCAGGGGGGAGGAAGTGGGTGGATTTGAGGTTTCTGTTGGAAATCAAGCCAATAGGTCTTGATAATAGGTTTGTCAGAAGAGAGACAGTGGGGGAGATCTGAGATGATCCCCCGGCTTTTGTGCTGAGCAGAGATCTGGAGGAGCCCTGAGACGCTGGCTGCAGTGGAAGGGAGGAGCAGGTTCGGGGGAGGAGAATCAAGAGCTCCATTTGCGATCTATTGAATCCGAGGTGTTTGGGGACATACAGAGGCATGAAGCAGGAAATCGGGTAGAGGAATCGAGCTCGGAGGAGAGGGCTGGGCTGGAAATATACATTTGTGAGTCATCAGCATATAGATGGTATTTAAAGCCATGCGACTGGGTGAGATCACCTAGGGAGAGAGAGTATAGATAGAAAAGAGACGGTCCAAGACTGAGTGGGTTAGAGAACAAGGAGTCCCGGAAATCCGTGAGCGTGGCCGGAGCCTGGAGGCAGGTTCAGGACGATAACAGACAGAGTGGATTAGAGAAGTAACCATTCGATTTGGCAAGTTATGAGGTCATTGGTGGACTTGGCAAAAGTGGTTTCAGTGGAGTGGTGGGGACGAAGAAAGGCCTGAAGGCGTTGAAAAATACATTCAACGAGGAGTAGAAACAGCAGGTATAGCCAGCCCCTTAGGTGTTGTCTGTGCTCTAGTGATGTGCATCCTTGAGTTCTCTCCCCTGTGGGCCCTGAAGGCAGACAGCGGGGCCTGCCGACTCAGATCTAAGCTGCAAAGGGAGCCCAGCACACAGGAGGAGCTCGATACATGCACTTAATCATCGGATGAGTAAATGAATGGCTCATTCACTGCTTGAGTCGAAAGGGCCTTTTTAGGTAGAGAGGGCAGCTGTATTCTTTTGAGGCAATTGAGGGAACGGCAAAATCCACTCCAAAAGCTGGAGGCTCTGAACCCCCTTTCTCCCAGCTAAACCCCAGCAGCAGCTGCACATGGGGCCAGGGCCCTGGCCCAGAGCAAGGAACCAGGTTTCGTCCCTGCTGCCCCTTACATGCCTGTAACTGGGTAACTCGCTTTCTCTTTCTTAGGAGAGATAAGTGTAGGGAGAAGAGGCCCACGTGAGCCAGCCCTACAGGAGGCCCTCAAGGTATTAGTTTCCCTCCTCTTTCCCCCTTTTCTCTCTGGGCTTTTTTTCTTATTTAGGAGGCAGAACATGGCAAGTGCCTCCTAGTGTTGCTGTGAGGAGAGTGAGTGGGCAGTCCATGAGGGCAGGAGAGATGAGGGTGGGGACCCAGTGGAGGAGGGAGCAGACCTCACGCATGAACAGGCATCTGTGTAATAACACCAAGGAGACCCTGAAGTGTCCTTGGGCTTGGGTAGGGCGGGACACATCTGTGACAGACAGTCCCACCTGCCAATCAGAGGGGAGCTAACTCTGAAGCAGACTGCGGTCTGCCAGAGTGGAAGTGGCTGTTGGGAAGTAACAAATAAAAGAATATCGGGGCCCTGGCCGGTTTGGCTCGGTGGATAGAGCATCGGCCTGCGGACTGAAGGGTCCCAGGTTCAGTTCTGGTCAAGGGCACATGCCTGGATTGTGGGCTCGATCCCCAGTGAGGGGGCAGTGGAAGGAGGCAGCCAATCAATGATCTTCCTATCTCTCTCTCCCTCTTTCCTTCTCTGAAATCAATAAAAAATATATATATACTTAAAAAAAAAGAAGAAGAAGAAGATTGGGGACAAGAAAGGGGAAATGGGATGGCCCTTGAGGGAGACCACCCAGAGAGGGGAGCCCGCGAAAGCTCTGCATGACTGAGAGCTGCCCGGGAGATGGGCCAGGGGACTGTCTCTGACAACCCCGTGCCTGCCATTCCCCTGCGACGCCTTCTCCTGAGCATCTGAGGCACCTGTGGGAAGAGGGGGTGAAGGCCTGGAGCTGGGAGCTGGGTCTTCCGGGAGGAGGGAAAGCAGGCAGGCAGGCAGGCGTGGACAATGCTGCCACCTAGTGGGGAAATCTTATTATTTCTCTTGGTTCCCGGGCTGAGCACTAGACGACAGGGTTTGGTGAGGGAAATGCCTGTGCTCCTGAATTTGGGGACCAGGGGGAGCCTCGGGAAGGAAAGCGCACGCCCCAGGGAGGTGTGCGCTGCCCACACTACTTTGCCCATCCGTGCCTTGGCTCCCCTCCTGGGTAGTGAGGGCAGTTCCTACTCCACGGGGTTGTAATGGTAGCTGAGTCCATCTACGTGAAGTGCTCGGCGTAGTACTAAGTGCTCAATACATGGTGGTTGATCCGAGGGAAAGCGACCGTGTGTAGCCTTACCCCCTTCTACACAGAAAACCTGCGCCTTCTCTACAAACACGGTGTCCTTAGCCCCACCAAGCCCCTCCTGTTTCCACATTCTGGGGCGGCCACTGTGTACCCCAAGGGATGGGGGGCTCTGTGGGTCCCAGCCTCTCCCCCGCTGATTCCAGGGTGGCTGGGGGAGGGTTCCAAGCCCCAGCCCTTTCTCTCTCCCCTCGCCCCAGAGTGTGTGGTCATAAGGGCTCCGGGCTGTGACCTCATAGAGCCCAGCCCCGTCACAGGAGTGGAGAGGTCATGAGTCCGTGGCAGTGGGCGAGGGTGTGGGTGTGGCTGGTTGGGCTGGGGGCCGTGGAAGCAGGTGGGGAGTGGTGCTGGGAGCCGTGGGAAGGGGGAAAGCTTGGGGGGAGGGGGTCAGTGCCCCCTCAGGGGCTGGGAGGCCAAGCTTCGGCCTTCCTCTCTGTTCCCCACACTCTCTCCCACCCACCCCCTCCAGCGTGGGCCTTCTGGTGGAGTTCAGCTGAGCGTTGGGAAGTTCCTGGGACAGAATTGAGCCCCTCTATCGCCACTCGAAGGCCTTGTGGCCTGGCAGGCCCTGGGTCTGCCTCTGCCGCTTGGGGTGGGCGGGGGTCTGCGGGGCTCTTGTCACAGACGTCGCTGTGGTCCGCAGCACCCACCCCGGAGGGCGCCAAGACCTGGGCCCTGGGAGCAGAGTCTCCGCGCTTCCTGGACAGACCTGACTTTTTTGATTACCCGGACTCCGACCCAGCCAGGAGCCTGGCCGTGGCCCGGTTTATCGGCGAGAAACCCGTCATCTTTGTGAAGTCAGGTGGGGAGCAGCCTGAGAGGGGCCGCCTCCGTGTCGGAGCCTGGAGGCCGACCTCGGAAAAGAACCCCCGGCCGACGCCCCCTGCCTTGGTCCAAAAGGTCCAAACCCCAAACCTCTTTCCATCACATCCCTGGTGAGCATTCTGGTGGGCGGGCTTCTCCTTCTTCCCTTTTCCAGTTTCTGGCCAACACATGTAAAGGTGGCCCTCACCCCCCCCAAATGATGTAAGCCTTTCCTGGGGGAAGGCTCGTTGAGTCTGTAGCCAGTTCCAGGGTAGGATAAGTAAACTTCTGTATTCTATTATATATATTTTTTTCTCTTCGTTAAATTATATACAAAGA